GAATGAAAGATTCCGAAGCTAAAATTGATTCATAAGTAATGATTCATTTTACCGAATAATTTTTCTTTCGACATTATTGAGTATCTACGATTGTGGACGCAGAAATATCAAATTAATGGGTATTTATAGGCTTGGAATTTGTAAAATGCATTTAGTCATTACAAACAAGTAAAGGCTAATTCTAATTGCGAACAGAAGCACATACCTATTATTGAAAAACTCAGTAAAATTCCGCCTTTTTTCAATTTGGCATATTAAAAATAAAAGCATTTCCTACGTATTAGCAAAATTCAAAAAAGGAATTTAACAGTAATGACCTCAAAATTTGCAAATTTTCTAATGAATGGAAAATAACTTATTTCATTTATTAACTCAGAATGCTTTGCGGTGTGAAAACGATTGATTGAAATCTGACGTAATACAATTGTTTATAAGTTTTCCATGGGTTTAATCAGTAACATTGGTATTGGTGGAAATGCGAAGTGACGAAATATTTGTATCTTTAACTTATGCCCTGAATATTCAACTGCATTATTGATTAAAATTTGAGAGCACTCTCAATGTCGTATTCAAATAGTGGAAAATATCTCGCTGGAATATAGCAAAAAAATATAAAAATTTGCATTCAAAAGAGGATATCCATGTCGCTGTTATGACTGCAAATATAAATGGATGCGACATTCTGAGTTAATAAATGAAATAAGTTATTTTCCATTCATTAGAAAATTTGCAAATTTTGAGGTCATTACTGTTAAATTCCTTTTTTGAATTTTGCTAATACGTAGGAAATGCTTTTATTTTTAATATGCCAAATTGAAAAAAGGCGGAATTTTACTGAGTTTTTCAATAATAGGTATGTGCTTCTGTTCGCAATTAGAATTAGCCTTTACTTGTTTGTAATGACTAAATGCATTTTACAAATTCCAAGCCTATAAATACCCATTAATTTGATATTTCTGCGTCCACAATCGTAGATACTCAATAATGTCGAAAGAAAAATTATTCGGTAAAATGAATCATTACTTATGAATCAATTTTAGCTTCGGAATCTTTCATTCCTTTCGTGCAGCACCTGTATGCACGCTTGAAACCTTCTCGTAAGTATTTACCATCCTATTATTGCGTTCACACAAAATTTCATTTGAAATCATGTTCTATTCTTTTGCCTAGATGAAAAAGCAAATCTATTCTTTTCGCCATTGAGCATCTACTCTAGTCTTGCCTTGGCTCTGTGTGGAGCATCTGAGAAAACTCACCACGACATCGCCTGCATCCTCAATGTCGAAACCGCTCATCTACAAGACCTTGGTGATAGAATTTCAGATATAAAGACCGGTGACAAGTTGGGCACTCTTAAGCTGGCCAATGCAATTTTCTGGGATGCTGGATTCGAAGTTGACCCTAACTTCAAGAAGGATGTTCAATCATACTTCAATGCTGAAGGAAAGCAGGTGAATTTTGCTTCAAGCCACGAGGAATCAAGGAAACTCATTAATGAATGGGTTGAAAAGGAAACCGAAAAGAAGATTAAAGAACTACTGCCAAGTGATTCAATTGACAATAGCACACGACTTGTTTTGGCAAATGCCATATACTTCAAAGGTAGTCTCTCATCTGTGGTGTAATTTTATGACTTCACTTATGCAGTCTAATTTTGTGATGCAGGAACTTGGGAGAAGGTGTTTCACCGCGATGCAACTCACGACGCACCTTTCCACACACTGGATGGAAAAGAGGTTACTGTGCCAATGATGAAGGACAATGGAGTGTACGAGACATACGAATTCAATGAGATTAGTGCTACCTGTGTCAAAATTCCATTCAAAACGTAAGGTGTTGTCAAGGCCACACTAGCTTGTATCCCTACGTTGTATTAATTTCTTGCCATTCTCGTTGCATTTTCAGCTGCCATATGCTAATCGTTTTGCCCAACGATAATAACGGTCTGCCATCTTTGTTGAAACATCTTTTGGATACTCATCATCGTGACCACTTCGATGCCCTCTTCAAATCTTCAAATTATAATGAGGCTCAGGAATGGGAGCTGCATCTATGTTTGATCAGAATAAAGCCAAATTCGAGCGTATCACAACGAAGGAAAGGCTTTATGTTTCAGCGATGGTGCATAAAGCTATGATCGAGGTTAGTGTGTGCTAATGAAAGCCTTCTTAACTCGTAGTTTCGCTTTATAAATACTACTTACAAATGGCATTAATACTTGCACAAGTATCCACAAATTGATTGGTATTGGTAATTGGCAATATCGAATTGGTATGTATTGCATTGTAGGTGAATGAAGAGGGAGCCGAGGCAGCTGCAGCCACAGGAATGTCGATCATGCCAATGTCAATTGTGCCCTGTATTAATGCCGATCATCCATTCCTCTTCTTCATTGTCACTGACAATGAATTCCCAGTATTTGCGGGTCATGTGATGAATCCATTGGAAGAATAGTTGGTGCAACTACCAATCGGAGAATAGTTGACTAATGGAAATGCCAATTCATCTAAACACCTTGTTCTCGCTTATTAACTGTCCGCTATTTCAGATTAAATCAATATATAAAAAAGCATTTTAAGCCATCAACAAAGTCTTCTTTTACTTCAAGCAAATGGGCGCACTTTCTAGCTGTTTGAATGGGGAATATAACTATGGCAACCACTCATTGTGCTTAATTCTATTAGATTAATAAGATGGACGGAAGGAAATATGTCCAACGCTTTTGAGTCGAGCTTGATGAAAGCAAACTAGTCTATCGAAGTTGTAATTAATCCTTAGGAAGAAACGTTGCCTATTGAAGGGGGGAGACTTTTCTATTTTGTGCATATTGTTCCCTTCAGACAAAGAAAGACGTTAGATTGACAGGGTGTGTGGAATATGAGAGTTGTAAAAGTTCACTTCTTAGCTCAAATGAAATTGTTGGAAAAGATACTCTTTGATACCGAACCCCCACAACCCTCTCTTCAACCCCTTCTTCAACCCCTTTTTCAAATTCATCTTCAATCCTCTCAGGTTGTTTTTAAGTCTAGACTTAGGTAATTCGAGTATAAGATAATATTTTTCTTCTACTAATCTAAAACTCTCTTCGACTCGAGCAAGTTGAAGCCTTCACAAGCGGACATTTCAGATCGATACTGGAGGAGGCACAACAATGGTGACACACATGGCACCCACAGGACAAGATGGACATGAATTTCTATCCAATCAATCAGCAACGGCCTGGGGGGGGGGACGAAAATGGGTTGGACTGGAGAGAAATTTGTGCAGGCTGTCTTCACAACAAAAAGTGGGGCAAAAATATAAGCTTCAGCAAGGAAGGTCCTCCTCTCACACATACCTCTCGATCAGAAGGCACATCCTGGAGGAAGAATAAACTTTCCTGGATGTGGGAGAATCAATTTGGGCATCTGAGAACTGCAGTCGGTAGAGACAAAGTAGGCAGAAATAAACAGTTCTCAGTGAATCAAGAATGCTCATGCCTTGAGCGGTTTGAGGAATGAGTGATCACCCTCGAATCATACGATATGGACGTCAATTATTAAGTGTACGAGAAAATTGCGATATTGGAGTAGAATGGAATTCCAAGAACTCCTATCCCACTTTCAACTCAGACCAAACTAGATCACTCGTCTACCTTTGCTTCAACCAATTAGAATCGTCGAAGTCAGTGCAAAATATGACCTCGTGATTTCTGAGAATATCACTGCTTCTCACGCAGACCTCGATACCACCCAATTTCCTTATCTTCCTCCTTGGCAACAAAAATGGATGAGGTCCTACCCCGATCCAAAGTTTCCTTCCTGCGTTCCCGCTTCGATGTCAGAACTGGCAGTAATTCCAGAAGACATATCAATGTCTGTTCCCCCTCAAGCACACAAACATGAATTACCTATCCACGTTGCAGTGGGCTCCAAGGTGAACTAGCCTGGTAAAGGGTCTGCGAACATTCAACTGTGTAACTTGGTCAACGACCTCCAAGCATCGGTGTCATGGAATAGCTCAGAATCAGAGTGACCAAGTCATCAAACATTAAACATGTCACAAAAGTGGATCCTCAGTGCTGTTACTACTTCGATTGTTGAAGAATTCGTTTGACAATCTATCACAATATATACTCCTTCTAGAATTCTCATTTCAATCCTTCCTGTGTTACTTCGTCTATTCGGATACTCCTTTAAGCTTAAAACCCTTCCTGTGTTACTTCGTCTATTCGGATACTCCTTTAAGCTTAAAACTTGAAAAGCTTTTCCACACTGCTATGGTGTATGATAGCAATACAATCTCACAACTTTCTCATCGTGTTGGTGAGATCGGTGTCGTTATGTAACCTTCAAACTCTCTCGCAATGATGACAGCATTTCTTCAGATGTCACTTTAATTAGGATAAGAAGAAGAGAATGTGCACAAGGGAATTTAGTCGAAAACGAATCATTTTCCTTGAAATTTAACATTGAGTTCAACCTTTGCCCCTCACTCTGAAAACCCATATTTGAGGGTGGGGTGTGCGATAGACTTACCTTCACGTGGTGCACCCTGGCCAAGGTATACTCATACGGCAAGAAAGTCTATAAACCGGCAATTGACTTCACACTTCAAACTACTATCACCCCACTGTAAGTCATATTCGACTAACTCCACAGTACTCACCTCACTTATTTCTACCTTTTTGTCGGACTCTTTTTCATCATTGAAACACTCTTCTGTTCCACTCCCCCTCCCCTCGACTTTTCACTTTGATGTTTCTTCCCCTCTGTGAAGCCCGAAGTCAACTAAAGGGCTAACGATAACTTTCAAAACCCCTGCCATTAGATGTAAATATTTGAGGGTTGTGTGAAGTTATGAATGACGCAACGGTACTGCCTCGAGTTCTTCACTCCTTGTGCTTCAATTCATCTGCATTTTACACCTCTGTTCTTCATTCAGTAAATGCGTGATTGAAGAACACAGGTACCCCCTCCCCCTCCCCCATCCATATAAGTCGCATTCTATTGTCACTGTTGGCAAGCTTCCTTTCTCGAAAGAACTAAAAGAGCACTAGACAGATGCGGGAAGTGTGCAGTTAATATCAGAAGTGACATCCAGTAGTTAAAGCTTATGAATGAAAGCAAGATTATGAAGAGTCTTCTCACCCTCTGATTGAATTTGGATGGACTTTACAATTTCAACCTTCACAAACTTAACTGTTATACTACCAAAACTACACGATTGCACTTCTTAAGAATGTAATATTCACAATCGGGGTGATCATAGATTTTCTTGTCGGCTTTCCCGAGAATTGCGACAACTAGTGTAAGCATAACTCACATCATTGCAGACAATGGTTTAATTTCCCCAGGTTAACTATTTGTAGAAATGGCCTTACACCCATTAACAGTCTTATCAAAATATATAACCCACCTCTTCCAATGTCTCCTCCCCCCTTCCATTCCTGCCTCCACCGCTTTGAACCTGGATCAACTACAACTTGACAATATCCAGTGTACACAAATTCAAAGCCATTGAAATGAATTGGAGATATTATAAAATTGACAAATGCACACTTCAACGAGGACCGTTTGAGGTATGAACAGGGGATTTATGAACTCTGGATTGTTGTTAAGGCTACTTTCATGAAGCAACTCGAATATACGGGGTTTCAGTTTGATTGGGGCCTTTTGAGAGTTGCATGTCTAAGGACTCGTAAGATCAGCCAACATGGAATAGACAATCAGGAAGGCAGTGGACACTGAACACAGTGCACGAGTGGTCAAATTTCAGCTTTGGAACGTGATGGTGAGGAACATAGTGTCTGTATACATCCATAATCGCCTCCCACGTATTCTGCTCCACGATGGACATTGACCAATCTTTGAGTTTACTCGTGAGTGGTGCTTTTGGAAATCTGGAGGGTTGTTGTTTAAGGTATGGTTTGCGAAAATGGAGCTTGTGAAAGTGTAAGCAAAATTGGTTGGACCGTCTGTGTAGGATTATTACATGTATTCTGACCTTTTGGTGAAGCTGTAAGGTACGGAAGCCACCAATGAAGAGTTATGGAATAGGTAATGTTGACGTCTTGTGGTTCTCCTTTTCAGAAGATGGTGTTTTGGCTCTTGTTTCGGGTGGATGATTCAGTCAGAACATGTTAATTCGCTAGGGTAGATATCGAAATCTTCCTCTTGCACTAGATTTTAGTATTGCGAGAGATAATAATATATTCTATCAGAATTCCGTGAATATTTCCCCAACACGGATTTAAGTCATCTGTGAGACCTGGAAGTTCTTTTGGGAGCCCATTTGAGTAAGTCCAGAACAACCTGGTATTGAACACATTCGCATCGTTTATGTTTGCACGTGGCAGAGGAACTGAGGTGATTTTGTTACAGACAGTTCTCCAAGCAATCAAATGTGCGACTGACAAGGAGTCTTTCGACTATGCCATAACAATTGCTTTCTGAGTACTTAACGGCAACGTCAATGTTATTGGAGAGAAGGTAAGATAGAACCGAGTTCTCTGCTAATTAATTTGTTGTACTTGGAAGTTATTTTCTCAACTGGATGGCCCGGACATGTGTGGTTCGTGAGTCATAAGCAGGGTAAGAGAGAAACGCGTTCATTTCATTTACTTCACAATCTGCTCCATCATCAGACATCGTGAAAATGTGAGAGAAGACAAAAAAGATGGTGGATCTACGGGGAGAATAAGTACTGATTAAAGTTATAAGAGGGAGAAACGAAACACTTAATGTTTAAAACAAAATAATTCATGGAAAAAGAGGTAGAAAGATTACGTCAAGGCGGATACTTCACAAATAAAATGTGACCAAGTGATAACGATTGTCTCTATTCAAAATCAAAGTGTAGTAATTCGTTCCTAGCCTTAGATGAGCTAAGCAAAATGTATCCAGTAGACGAAAAAGAGTTTGGACTTTAAGCCCAATTAAATTAATCTTACCGTGCAGTTACTATTGACTGATGGTTGGTTGAGAAATTTCTGCAATCAGGACCAAACATGTACGCTCTTCAAACATGGAGTGACTTCCAAAAATCAGATATGTTAGCGTATAGTTTAATAAAGCACATATGCAATAAGGGAATCGAACACTGATAAAAATGACAAAGTCACGAGAAAAGCCCTTGCTGTGAGCAATCTTTCATGATTGAAACAATTAACATTGTTGATGATGGTCTTCCAAAATGCTCAACTCTGTCAACCATCTCGCTCAGGCATTGGGAAGTGCAGAGTTGGGAACTAACAAAGACAGTTTGCAGACACCGAATAAGAACTATCTAG